AACTGCCTTTCTTCACTCCTCCTCAAGTTCCCCGACAGGGAAAACTTGACATCACGGCTGGACTCCCGGGCGATCAAAATTTGGCATTTGTCCTGAACGTAAAATCTCATCGATGCCTGGTCCAGGAATCTGAGGATCTCGTCCTTGATGCCTAACACAATACTCACATATACGCAGAGCTTGTACTCGACCCTGAGTCCCACGGTGTCTAAATGCATGGCATGGATTGAAGACATGGTAACACTGGTTGCCAGGTACATAGTATACTTGCTCCGGCACCTGAACTTGGGTCCTGGTCTCTACGCGAATTTCGGGTAGTGTAGGGGCGAATGCAGGTCCGGTTGTCTGAACTGATCGATCCTTCTGATTGGCCTTGTACACTACCTTTTCACCACCCGTAGGAATGGTCGCCCTCGTTGACGATTCAGCTCTTTCTCGGTCACCAAGTGGTACTCCACCTCGTCGATCTAGATCATGAGCTCTACGAACCTCAACTGGACCCCCTCGTTCTCTTCGCCGTGCATCTAGTTCATGCTGAATTGCCACCGATGTGTGATCACGGATCCTCTGCAGTCTCCTAAGTCTCCTAGCACCAGCACCAGGCACTGCCGAGAAATATAACTGCCAACCCGCATACTTTAAGAATTCCCAAGCCACCGTCCACAGCAGAGCGATTATTCCAAACACAAACCACATAACCATGCCATGATCGACAGACAGCGGTTGATGTTCCAAGACTGACACCAGCTCTACTGCTTTTGTCGGGATCACAGCCTGAGACAAAATTAATAACGCAATCAGCACTTTGGACACCGTAGATCTCGGCCTTGACTGTGCATCTGCTTGCTTTTCCTCCTCAACATACTGCTCTGAAGAAAACAAACCCATCATCTTAGACAGCTGAGCAAGACGAGCTGAGGACAAAGGCTTTGTCAGCGCATCAGCCAACTGAACTTCTCCAGCACAATGCTGGATTATAACTTCCCCTCGCTCAACCTTTTCAGCTATCCATGCCGCCTTGATACGTAAGTGGCGGGTGCGCCAGGATCCACTCCCATGCTGTATTGCCATCGAGGACATACTGTCTGTTTTCAGCACCAACGGAATTTCCTTGTCCTCTATCTCTTGCCAGAGTGCGCACAAACTGGAAAGTGCCAAAGCCCCCTCTACGGAGGCAGTAAGCTCCGCCTCCGCAGTCGACAGCGCCACGCTGCTTTGGCGCGATGAACGCCATGCCAAAGGAGAGTCTCCCGCCGCGATGAGCCATCCCGTGTGGCTCCGGCCACACTCCGGCGCAAATGACGCGTCGGTCCAGCTTGTAAGTTCTGGGCCTTGAGATACCAGGTGCAATCTATAGTCTTGCGTACGCTGCAAAAAACCGAGCACCTTTCTGGTAATCGAAGAAACTCGGCGAGGGGCCTTTGTGGTAAGAGAGGATGCAAGGCTTGCGACGTACGCGAGATCTGGACGCGACCTCTGAGACAACCACAGTATCTCACCAGCATATTGCTGAGCTTCTCGCAGCTCTGCTTCAGTAAAAACTGCTTCCTCTTCTGTTGCCACAAAGGATGCTTGCTCTCTTGCCACAGGTATAACATCCCTCTGCGTCTCTTTGACTCCATGAAGCCGAAGTAGCTCAGCGATATAGTCGGACTGAGAAATTGCGAAGCCACCCTCAATCTTCTCGATTTCCAACCCCAAAAACTTTATTGCACCATCGGACGCCATAGCTAGCGGGCTGGTAGACCATAGCTCCTTGATCGCCTGCGCAACAGCCTTCACGATGGGGGGAGTGGAGCAAATAAGGATGTCATCGACATAGATCACGATCACCCCAATGACCGACGACTCCTCAACCACCTTCCACCAACTGCTTTCAACACGACATCTGGCCAAGGTCACCTTCCTGTCACCAAGCCGAATTGTCAAACGCGCCAAACTGACATCACGGAATTCTCCCCACCATTTTGGACTTTCTCTAAGTCCATAGACAGCGTGAGTAAACTCCCAAAGTTCATCTTCAGAACATAGGCCAGCACGAACCAGAGCACGTGGAGGTTGACCAAACACACGGAAGTTGCAGTTTACCTCTGACAACGGGGTTTGTAAGAATGCACTGGTGATGTCAATAACCCCTGCATCCCATCCTCTAGAGCTCGATATGGCTAAAGAGGACCTCACCACTTCTGCCGGAGCTGCCGCCGCGTAAGTGTCCTCGCCAGAGTCTGCCATCATATTGCCGCAGGCAAC